TAAAGACATTTTAAATTGAGAAAACTTCTTTGGAAAACAAAGTCCAGTTGTTAGTTTTTTAACTTCAGCTTTTTGGATCCTGATTAAACGGGTAAATTTCCCCAAACTGAGTCCAGAACCAGTCAAGTCAGACTGGGTTTGGCAGAAGAGTCTTCTATGTTCCACCTTAAAAACAATCAAAATGTCTATCAGACGGTCCTTCTGCCCAGACCTGAACAGAGCAGGCTGCTGTTCTCCTTTAAGGTTTCCACGGTAACCCATGGCATTCAACCTGATAAGACCAAGGCCGCCTGATGAAGACAAACACGCTCAGACGCACTCATGGTCACAAATCTGTAATAACAACACACAGACGTGACCTCTGACCTCTCCAAGGTTCCTCCCAGACTAAGTCTCATTAAAGTCAGGGTTCCTCCTCCTCCCCTCATTCTCCTCTGCAGCCATGTTCAGCGCTCTGCTCTCCTCCATCAGCGCCTCCTTCTCTCCACCCGTCCTCCTCTCCGTCCTAGTTCTAGTGATTGTCTTGGCTCTGGCGTCCCGTCGGTTCCGTCTTAACGCCAAACCTGTGAGCGGCGGCGCGGCGGCTCGGGGCTCCATCCCCTGCCTGCCTCACCTCCCGGTCCTGGGAAGCCTCCCCTGGCTGGGGGGAGGCCTTCCTCCCCACCTCCTCTTCACCCAGCTGGCCTACAGGTGAGACCAGGGAGGCTGAGAGGGTCCAGATTCTCATTGTAGACCTTCTATAACAGAGGGTGAACTTGCTGGGACTAGTTAACACGACTAAGATTCTGAAAGGACTAGTAAACAATAGTTATCTCTGGAAACGACTAGTAGAGAAAACTAATCATCTGCAATGACTACTTTCTGTGGGAAAGGTCCCTGATTGCTGGGAAGTTTGGGTTTGGATGAAATAGTTTATCTTTCAAAGGACTAGTTGCTATGATTTATTGAAACTTGTACTAAATCATGTAGAGAGAAGTTAACTCAACACTATTTCTGACATTTTGAATTGAAAAAGCTTCCTGGATGGGAAGCGAAACATCTTCAAACTTGGAAACAAAGTCTAGTTGATTGTTTTTTTAACTTTTTTGGAGCGACTATGACCTGGATGACTGAGGATCTTCACCAGCAGACAAGTTAATCTTTATTATAACTAGTCTATGGTCGCATGCAAAAAGAACTGAAATGTGTTCAACAATCATTGGTTAGAACCCTTAAACTAGTTCTTGTTGATCCCAGTGTTATTAACCTCCTGTTTAGATTTGCATGGGTTAGTTAACATGTAGAAGAATTGGTCAATATCTGCAGGATATTAACACATGAATAAATGTTTAGAGCTGAATAATATTTAATAAATCCTGTTGCGTTTTATGGGGGATTTTGTGAAAAAGTATTTAAAAATGTTAGGTTAGTTAATTGGAAACCAGCGGATTGATATATACATTGCAAAAAAAAAGAAATCTAAATAAGTCATTATTTGTTAAACTAAGTACATTTGTTCTTTAATTAAGGAGGTAAGTGAGACACTTTGCCAATGGAAGAAGACAGTTAAGAGTTAAAATAAGAAAAAGCAACTGCATTATTATCTAATTATCTTATTTTAAGTGTTAAAATACTCATTCCATTGGCAAATAATCCCATTTAGCTACTAAAATTAAGGGTAAATACTCTTGATTTAAGAATTTTATTTCTTGTTTCTAAATCATTTTTGCAATGTACACTGGAAAAACATATAGAAATAAGTTTATTTACCCTTAATTTGAGTAAGTAAATTAGATTTTTTACTTTTAAAATAAGATAATTAGATAACATGCAATTGAAATAAGACAATGCAATTGCATTTCTTATTTTAAGTGTAAATTGTCTTGTTCCATCGGCAAAATGTCTCTTATCTCCTCAAACCAAGAACAAATTCACTTATTTTAAGAAAAAAAAAATCTTGTCTAGATTTCAATTTTTTCCAGTGTAAAATAAGCGCTAATTTTTGAAGATCTAATTTACTTTTCATTAAATGCAAACACTATAACGTCATCAATAAGGTGGACTTGGAGAGACTAGTTATGTTTCGGGGGACTAGTTTAAAGCCCATTGATGCCTATTGATGCAAATATGCGACAAACTGTCTCATTGTCCCTAAAAACTGTCACAGATTTGCAATATACTCACTTTTCTATTTCTTTTTTGTGTCAGTAGAGCAATCTCAGTTTGGCAACTACTTGAAGGCAAAATTATGTAAGAAATTCAGGTTTCAAGTGGTTAACATGGGGTTGGAAATTTTTTTTATAGATTATTGCTCTTAATAAGTGAAATACACTGGAATAAATCAAAATCTAGATAAGTTATTTCTTAAGATAAGTGCATTTGTTCTTGAATTGAGAAGGAAAAAGGGACATTTTGCCAATGGAACAAGACAATTTAGATTTAAAATAGGAAAACACAATTGCATTGTCTTGTTTCAAGTGCATATTATCTAAATATCTTATTTTAAGAGTAAAAATACTCATTCCATTGGCAAATCATCTAATTTACCTATTCAAATTAAGGGTAAATAAAGTGATGCAGGAATAACTTCCCCATGGATTAGTTTACAGATGTTTACATTTAAAACAAGTATTAATGTCCTGGACAGTAAAGTGATTCTTAGAGAAGTGACCACGGTGGATGATCCTCTGTAACCGTCTGCTTGTCTCTGAGGTATGGACCCCTGTTTGCGCTCTACCTGGGCCCTCACTACACCTTGGTGGTGAACGACCACCAACATGCCAGAGAGGTGCTGCTTCAGAGGGGCAAGGACTTCGCTGGACGTCCCAACATGGTCAGACATGCCAAAACAGAACAGCCTGAATTATGTCAGAACCTCAAAAACTTTCCAGCAGAAAGTCAGGCCAGAATCTCATTGTTATGCTCTTTGCTTATTAAATATTTTAATTAAGAAAAGGGGGGGTGTTTGTGTTATAATTGATGTCTAAGGTGTGTTTCTTTTAGCCTGAAAACATAAAATAGAAATCCTCTTTTTGAAATGTAACTTTTCTTATTAGAAGAATGGGTCATTGGCTGATTTAGAATACCTCAAATTACAGCTCCTAGCTCCCGTTCTTAGGTCCTACTCCAGGGTAAAACAAACAGCAACTCCCAGTTTAGGCAAGAAAAAAATAAGACATGTCGATAAAGGTCTAAACCATCTATTCAGTGGTGGATTGGGTAGCCCTGCTGCCTTGCTGCAAAAAGGTTCTTGGTTCGATTCCTTGCCTGGGGTCTTTTTGCATGGAGTTTACATGTTCTCTCTGAGCATGTGTGGGTTCTCTACGGGTACTTCGGCTTCCTCCCTCAGTCCAAAAACATGACTTTTAGGTTAATTGGCTTCTTTAAATTCTCCTTAGGTGTGTGTGAATGGTTATATGTTCTGTGTTGCCCTGCGATGGACTGATGACCTGACTGATGACTCCATATTTCAAAATCACTGCAAATTCTAGCTCCTCTTCCTTCACCTTTCTTGGGGTACAGAGTAAGATCACTATCCAGGTTAGCAAAGGATCTCCATGATTGCTGTGCGGAATCCAGACAGCCTTTAGATTTAAGGACGCCATTGAACGGCACTGATCAAATTGGGCTTACAGCAATTTGGAAAGAAATCCAACAAAAAAAGTTGGCTATAAAATGCAAAACAGTGAGGACTAGCATGTGTCACACTGAGTATAAGTGAAGAAATCAACTATTTTAGTTAAACACTGTGAGGCATCCTGCTTCCTCTTCCTAGCTTCTTCCTGACTGCCAGCACTATTCAGACAGCACTTATCATGGTGACCACTGACGCATTCCTACTTCGGCTGGTGAAGCTGTTCACTGTTCATTCCTTCAGGTTTCTTTCTTATTTTATTTACAATGACATTTGCCTGCAGTGGCTCCTGGTGGCCAAATGGGGGATTTTCACGTTTATTTACTCAATAATTGCGGTTTGTAGAAGTTTAAAGGGTAAAAATATACAAGCTGTTGTTCAGTTTTGTCATTTACAGTCCTCTTTCCAACTTCTTTATTTTACCCAGTTTTACTTTTACACTGTAAAAAGGAAACTGGTTTTTATTAATATTTTTTTTTTTTTTACATCTGATTGAAAAAA